TTTACTTCATTTTTTATGTCATATTAATTCTCTTCCGACTCATATCGTAGAGAAAACTATAATAATATATTTTTTGTCGCTCAATATAATCGTCGTTCAATTAATTGAATAATTCATAAAATAATATTTTATTCTCAAATAATGCTAAATAAGGCACGAGTTTAAGTTGAGATACAGTTATATGTAGTGTAACCATGTTATGTAACATTCAATGAGGCATTTTAGCTTCATTTCTAACACTATATACATTTACTGTATAATTAAAATAATGTCATTTCAACGCTCGCATTAAAACATAATGAATATTTTTAATATAAAAGCAATGATTGACTAAATATTTTAATTATAAATATAATTAGTGAAGACGTTAGTAAACGGCGCGCCGCCCTTCTCCACACCGCCTCCCAAAGAGATGTATCCATTGTTTGATGTGTTTTGTCTGAACGAAACCGAAGCCACGATAACCACTGGAGTGGACGTCAAGAGTATAGAAGACGGGAAAAAGTCGTGTCGAGTGTTATTAGAGAGAGGATGCGGTTCTGTCATCCTTACGATGGGAGACAACGGAGCGGTTTATATGGACTCAAAGGTGGCCTTTCATGTGCCCGTTCAACAAAAGGTTACTCCAGTGGACACTACGGTATGTAATAGTTATTAAATATTTACATGCATCCGATTTTGACATTTATCTATCGATTGGGCAAAACCTGTCCGAAGAAAAACCTCTGAGATTTGATATAAGATGTAACGAAAACGAGTGCAACAATTAATCAAAAACCCATTTGTGATAAAAATTGTATTTAACGTTGAGAATGATTTGCTTCTAAAAAACATGATAATAAATATAGAAATAATAAACCATTAAAGAAGATGTGATTCAACACACAATATATACGTTATACAGTATATAGCGGTCGACACAATACATCCGACAAAACATTTATTGCAATAAAATGTCAGACATTTACTACAAATATGACATGAATTTCAGTTATATTAAGTTCAGTGGGCGAGAGATCTATTGTGTGATTCTTCGATAGTATTTCATACAATAGCAGTATTTTTCCTGTATTTCTAGTCATTTGTTTTAAAGTCAAGGGTCAGTGAATTTGTTACATTTCTAATTGTTATTATCTGTTATCAAATAATGGCATTAATTAATTATTGCTTAATTTACATTTACGGTAATTTACAGATTATGCACAAACCAATCATTTATGATATACATTGTGTGTCTAAATACAGTTATTANTTGCTTAATTTACATTTACGGTAATTTACAGATTATGCACAAACCAATCATTTATGATATACATTGTGTGTCTAAATACAGTTATTAGCGAGTAATTCATAAATTAATACCAAACTAATGGAAACTTTATATTTATAGCTATTATTGTGATTCACAATTTGTGAATGTAAGATTTATCGTAGTTTTAATATTTAATGTGAAAAACTATTTTTAGAATGCAATACAGAATATTCTGTGATTCTAAAGCTTTAATAATTTTATTATTAAAACTGATTTTTAAAATTTGTAAGCAATTTATTGTCTGCTATAGGAATTTATTGATGAGTGAACTTTTCCCATTTATTTCATCGATTTATATGATTATTATTAACCACAATTCAGATATCAATTCAGATGTGGTTTATAAGATCGTTCAGATAACCCCCCTCGCCCCCCCCCCCGCTCTATAGGATTTAACATAGGATTACAGCTTAAGTCTATGGCTATACTTTAACATGGGGTTAATGTTATCCTATGAGTAATTTTAATTCTATGGGAAAAATTTTCAATGGATTTCTATGGGATTACAACTTAAGGCTATGACATAGGTTTAACATTGGCAATGCCATCTATAGATAATGCTAAGTCTACCGGACTAATGCTAAGTCTATGAATAATTCTAAGTCTATGGATAATGTGGAATTTATTCTTTGAGCATCACCCGAATTGTGGCTAACGTATAGCATCGCTGTGTGAACCTTGTTTTTTATATAATAATATCTGAGTTTAAATTGAATTTATGTTTTCTCGGAATTATTAGTATTTTCTCAATATATTTGCTTTGATTCTGTATTGAATACAGAAAAATCTCAAATTTCGTGGCCATTAATCGTTAAATAATACACAATATTATCTATAAAATGTTGTGAAAAATGTTTTTATTTCAAAAAGGTATTAAAGACACTATTATAAATATGCATTAAATTGAGTTTAAATTGCCATTAGGGGAGGTTCACATATTACGTTCGCACTTGGGAAAATATGATCAAAGTTAATCATTAGATAACAAATGTTGAATAAATATATGACTTTTGAATTGGAATAGTTTTATTTCTTAGGGGTTGGGGTTAGGGCTGAAATCACTGCATGCGAACAATTTACGAACATAAGGGGGAGGGGGTCTAGATTTATGAAAAAGTACGAACGTAAGATGTGAACATCTTTATATTAATGGCCAATATTTATTCTTTTGCCATAAAATTTATTAAACATTTAATGTATTAATAATACTATACTATACTTTGTGTCTATTCATACAAATTCCCTAAATATTATACATTTGAATAAAAAATACTGGGTTTTAGTCCTAATCTACTGAACGCACGAAATTCGTATAAATCTTGTTTTGTAACAAAAAATGCCATTAAAATAATTGTGTTTAACTTTATTTTGCGTTTGTTTGTGAATATTTTGCACTTATTTTTTATACCATTATTTCTTTGACCAAACGATTGTTTAGGGAGCGGGCGATGCATTTATGGGTGCATTGGCTTATTATATGGTAAGCCATCCAAACATTACAATTGAGGAGCAGATCAAACGATCCGTATATATAGCCACCCGATCTGTGCTCAAACAGGGAACCCAATCAAGTTTTCCCGACAAACATGAATTGCCTGCAAATCTTTTTTAATAATAACATTTTGTAATCTTTTTTACGCTAGAAATTGTTTAATTTAATATATATTTGTAATGAATTTAATATAAATGAAATCCAATTTATACTGATATTGTATAAAAATAATTACTTTTAAGAGAATAGCATTTGAAGATGAGTTTATGACTTGTAAGTAGTGTTTTGTGTATTATAATTGAATTGTTAAGCACTCACATGAAGTCAAACTTCAAATATATGACATTTCTTGGAAAAAATAATCTAATTTTGATACGTTTTGCAGTTGAATACAATATATACTGAAAAGTTTAAATTTAATTAAAATTTGTAAAACGGTTTTGTAATCAAATGAGATGTTTTCTGATTATATTAAATAAAATATGAGATAAAAACGTATTGCAAATGGACTGCATTTCTCACATTCTTAGGTTTGAAAATAAATATTTCTTATAAAATATTTTATGTTTGAACTGTTTTTGTCTAAATATATTTTAATTGTTTATTTATTTAATACATGTAAATCAATTTGATATTATTAAATATAAATTTATAAGTAGATTATTATATAATATAAAACTATCTGATGGAATTATCTTTTATAAATCGTGTCACACCATTATATGGCGGACTGTCATTAAATTAGATATAAGAATATTCTTATATTTTAATATTGCTTTTATACCATATTTTAGTTTTATTTGATACTATTGTAATCAAAATGTATTGTTATTTATATCTACTATTGTTGTGAACTATATCGGTGCTCCTCTACTCATATCTATTGTTACTGAAAGCAGTAGAATGTTATTCAAATCCATTATCATATTATAATAAATTACAAATTCTGTTAAATAAATAATTGGAGCAAAAATGTGCATTTATTGTTAAATTGATTTTAAATCACAGATAGCTTTCTGAACAGTTTAGTTAATAAATATTATTATGAATATTTATTTATTTTTTCATAAAAGATTGAGATATAGATTAAGTCAGTATTGATTATACAGTAAAAGCATAAGTGATATTCAATTACATTAATTAATGCATTAATCTATGGTTTACGGCATTACTTCATGTATTATCGTTAAAACGAGGGATGCCTTCAATCCAATCAAATAAAGTGATAAGAAATTAACGATTTTATGAGTTGTAAATTGTAGAGTAAATACACTGTAGTATGAAATCAACGTTTTATTGATTCATTGATCCAATAAGTCGTCTCGTATTAAGACATTTCTGACTTCTCGGATAAAATTTATACAATTTATGTTTATATAATATTATGTAAGTTTAAATAAATATACAATATATTTGTTTATTTAATAAATTATTTTTATTTGAATTTAAAATATTAAATTAATTAACTTTGATTTGAATACAGTATAACAGTATATCACTAAATAATTATATATAAATTTATAAATCAAGAATTAGACGTTTAAGCCATTCATTTGATTCATATCACGGATAAAGTTATAAAATGAATGAATAGATGTATAAAAATTTGTCGACAATTCAATAACATTTATATTATAATAGTTGTGAAAAAATGGAAATTTGAACCAAAAAATAGATGATTTCTTTAAATAATGAATACAGAAAACGCGTTCATTTGTCCTGAAAGTTGGGATTTTTTGACCAATGTACTTTTGCTGTCACACCATTAGTATCACAGTTTTTGGGCACTGTATGGCCAACGGCTCCGCCAACAACCGAATTATTATTACTATTACTTTTACTACCGCTCGCCTTATTCCTGATCCGACTGCCGGTCCCGCTTTGGCTCGCGTTGACAGCACAGCATCCGTTCACATACAGTAGGAATGCGGCCCTAAATCTTGTCGACAGCACTGAATATATCTTCAAAATACATACACAAGAAAAATATTATTTCAATAATCAATTTATTATATAATTCTCAAATGAAAAACATGTTTTTATATAATAAGTATATTCACCAATGGATTCAGCGAACTGTTCAGATAATACAAACAGCCTATGAATGAAATCAATTTAAAAATCAATGTTGTATTCAATTTATTTCCAAGAATTCAGTGATAATATGTTAAACTATAAGTTTGTTAAATATATATATATTTTTTAGATTCAATTAATTAGTGAATTTATCAGCGAAAAAAGTGCTTCGCATTGCAATGAATGAAAACATTTAGTAAATTATTTCCCAAATGTGTTTATATTTAGTTTAGAAAATAATTAGCGAAGAAATTACCTGCAGAGAGGAAGAGGACTTGATTTATTTGCCGTAAAGTATTGGTCCACTCGGAGTATAGGCTCACGTATAGGAAGAGTAGTCTCTGTGCGTGAAATGGACACCAGCAGAACGAAAACACAATCACAATACACACTACGGATTCAATAGAAAATACTTTGTTATATGATTTACACGATTGAGTTTAAAGTAATATTTCATCTCTTTATAACTTAATTTGGAGCACATTTTCAACACATAAAAACTTGTGATAATATTTAATAAATATAATCAAAACGAGTGAATGAATGATGGATTTATGCATAAATGAATGCGTGTCTAAAATTTAAATGTATTTTATTTGTATTAAAGCTTTTATACTAATAAAATCAATGAAAATATTTGTGTCAAACTAACTTAATAATTAGTTTTAGAGTAAAATTTAAACAAGAATTAATATGGAATATTCTGTTAGCATTTTGCGTATACTGTATATATTTAATAACATTAATTTTTTATAAGATTTCAATTTTGTAATCATAAATAAAGTGTTATAAAAAATATATTTATTTTTGGGAAAGTTTGAACAATTCATGACTTTCTATTATTTAGTAAAGAATTATAAGAATTGTTTGAATCAAATATTTGCTTAAATGTTCAAATAAAATACAAATCATCTTAAATGTGGGCAATTTATATATTTTTAGGATTAAATTGAATTCTATTCCTATTATAGTATTTCAAAGTATTATAAATAATTTAATACTTTCTTGTTTTTTCTAAAATAAACACAATTCTGTTTAAAAAGAATTCATTGTTATTTTTGACATTTATAAAAACTTCAAAACATGTCTTACCATATAATTTAATTAAATAACTCGTATAATTACTAGTTTATATATAAGTTAAATAATTGGTTTTTAGTTTATTAAAGGGATTATTTAAGTAAACATAATTATAAGTTAAAGCATAATAAATATTTATATATGAAATTAATAGGGAAGATTCCATTCCCAGAATTGGCGAATTGGAATTTTCTAGGTATAAAACCAAAGCATATTTTACAATGAAATGGTTTATTTTATATTGCCATAAGATCTCTATTGTTCAAATATTTTGTAATTTGTTTAAGCATTTAACTTGAATTCATAGACACCTTCTTTATTTGTAAATTTTATAAGTTTGGAGAAATTGAAATTAGATTTGGAAACATAATAACAATTCTAGTCACGGAATAGAAGATTCTATTCTATAACTATTTTTCCAATATTTTCTATGAAATATTTTTATAAACGATATAAACATGTATTTCTAAGAAATTCAAAATATTATAATAATGAGATATTATTAAATAAATAAATAAAATATTATTAAAAATTTTGTTTATGGTAAAATAATATTTTAAAAATATAATATAACGTGTTTTTTACTCATATTATTATAATATAAATAAATTTAAAATGTATTTATAAAGGGTTGGTGTGAGTAATATTTGAGCGTAATATCAGTGCCATATTTCCCGTGTAATTGTGGTTAAAAATCATAACCACTTCGCCTCCAATTTATGCTTTTGATAAGTTGTTTATTATTAATGTTATTTATATTATGGCTCTATTCCTGACTTATATTACATTATTCTGTGTTTGCAATACTTTACAACTGTTTTACATATAAGATTCAAGAATAAGAAAACAAGATTCTTTGATTTCATGCATTAAACTTGTTTTTATTCGAACAAATACTCAGATTTCTATATTATAGACAATTTTAAAACATTTTTTATACAGATTTCAGAATATTCTTAAAGATTGAATGAATACATGAATGGATGAGTGAATGAATGAAAATCGTATTTTACATTTAAAATCCAAACATTTCCAGAATTTTTAAAAGAGTCACGAAATGAAAAGCTATTCAAATATCAAATGAATTTCTGTGTTCAACGAAATTGTAACACTATTTTAGATGTTTACACAATTGATAAATTTTACATAAATTATAATGCATGCTAAATCAATGAACGGACTATACTATACAATATTACATAAAGTCATATAAATATATTTTATTCAATTAAATATAAAATAAATAATTGAAATCTCATTTTTTGTGTATTATTATTATAGCCAATAAATAACTACGGAATCAAATAAAGTATCATATTACATCATCAAGAATTTGGTTCCGTATTGAATAAACAAGGTTTGGAAGCAATGGAAGAACTTAAGCTCATAAGGAAAGTATAAATGATATATTTATATCTAGCTGCAATTGTATTTATTCTAATAACTTACTATAATATTGATATATAAACTTTATTAACAAAATTGTCATTGTTATTAAAAAAATTGTGTTTTTGGGATAATCATGTAATCCATATACTGTATTATAAATTTATAATTTTTAAAAGTTATTATTCAAAATTTTTCATCATTAGAGTGGTTTTCATAAGATTAACCATGCCCGTATAAATAGCATTACCCATTGAATTATAATTGTTTTTGTTTATAAAGTTTACATTAGAGGACGTTCACATATTACCACAAGGAAAGACCCCCGCCTTACACTTTGACAAAACATTCCTTTCTTTGTCAATCCAGGCAAACCTTGACGAGTTGGCCTGCCTAAGCGGAGCTATCTTATAAACCTCAATTGTTGTGCTGAATTGAGAATAAAATAATGTATAAAGTATAGAGAGTGGGAGTCATAAGAGTTATCTACATATTTCTCAAAGATTCGCATAAATATTTAGAAATGAAAAATCAATTCATGTGAACAGCATTTGGTTGATATGCAGAGAATATATTGTGTAAAACGGTTTCTTGTCGTCGATTATAATTTATTTTGGGCCGTGTTTTCAATAAAAAGGCACTAAAGTATTCATTAGAGATCGATATAATGTATTAATATTGAAATATAAGGAGCAAATATCGACGGCTAATACTATGTGAGAGTGTGTCCTATCATTAATCGTTAGCATTTCAAAAGCGTACAACACATGCCATTAGTTTGCTTACAGAATAACGGCATTCAAAGTATTTGAATAAAAATCAAATCTGGTATTAACTCTACGAACAAAAGCAGTTTAAACTTATAAAAGTATTATAAATTTAGCATTCATTTGAAAAGTTAATTAATATTGTATGAAAAACTAATGATTAATTAACGTAAGTTTTCGTAAAATTGGGCCATTCAAATCAATCTGAGTCAATTATTTAAATATTGTTTTAATTTTAAATTCAGATTATATGATATAACATAACCAATAAATATATAATAAATTATTTAATTCAGAGATAATAAATAAATAATAAATTGAATAAAGCATATAAAATAACCAAAATATTGTGTTTATATATAAGAATCTCATTATTACAATATATTCTGTATTTGATTGCATCTAATTGTGGTATGTTTTGGTAAAATTTCCACAATTTCTATTTGTTTTAATGTAATTGCAATTCAAATGCAAACAAATACTTATGTAATAATCATAATTAGTGACGATTTATTTGCAAAACAAAACACTTTAACAACAAAACAGTCGGTTATAATGCATGACATGATATTCAACCGGAAAGACACGTATAAAAGTGTTTAATTCACTCAATTTGTATTCAATTCATTAAATTATAAAAATCAATATATTTATAGAAATATTTTATTAAATTAGCGGAAATTTGAAGATAAAAAGTCAATAACAAGAACCAGGAGTTAGTGTTTCTGTAAATGAGCCCTAAATGTGATAATCTATGTTTTGAGGCAAAAAATGTTATTTAGACTGAGATTTATATTAGAGTTTGACATAAAATAAGCCTAAAAGGAAAGTCATACTTATTATATATATTGTATATATAGATATTGAATGAAAGCTTATCTAGTGTTATATCATGTAATAAAACGAGTTGAAAATTTGATGACAACTCGGACAAAACAAAAAGTCATGGATATATTTACCCAACATTCTGATGACAATTTTTCTGGACTGCATTATTTTGCGAGACGTCCGCTGATCCGCTAAATGCAGGTCCGGATGATTGAGAGGATCAAGTTTTGTCGCCTTTTTTAGTTTTCTGGCGATTCGATAGTAAAGCAATGATATTATGGTCAGAGGAATGAGAAAGAATATGATGGTTGACGACAGCATTATTGTCTCCCAATGGAGATTAGGCTTATTAAACGGCAGACCACACCACGCGCTCTCCGACAACGTCTTTGAGTCCAAATAGAGATAATTAATTTGTGTGAACAGAGCCAGAGGTGTGGCGCCGATCAGCGAGAATATCCATATAATTATTATGTTTCTGATGGCAATCCTCTTAATATGGGTCGATGTGTTTGTGTTGAACATGGACTGAGAACTGGGTACTTTTGGTGATCCGCATATAGCCATATACCGCTCTAATGTAAATGTTACTGAAAAAGTCATTTTAAAACCAAATGAGACCATTTTTATTAAAACACGGCTTCACTTCTCACCTAATGTTAGGACAGATGCGTTTGCAGTACTCTCAGGGACTAGTGATTTGAGGCGACAAATAGCCAAACTAGCGCTCAGATTGTTAAAAATCGACCATGGCCATTGATGCCATAGGGTGTACAACTCTAATGGCATTCCTATTCATTTACAAAACATTACTTTAATTTTTGTCTTACATATTGTCATCAAAATTGTTTTATTCAATTTATGATAACTTTGATAAATGTTTTGGAAAACGTTTTATGCTTTTTCAAAGAATAGTAAAAATAGTTTGAAAGGAATTGTTTTCATTTGATTTGAATAATTGAATTAAACCCAAAAATAAAATAAAAATGGAAATTAAGGCAAAAGCAAAAGAAAAGAAAAATTTGTTAAAGAAAAACAAATAAATGAATAAAATGATGAAAGAAAGCACTTTAAAAGTTTTCTCTCAATACTAAAACAATTTCATATGAGAATGAGTTTCAATATATGGATAAAAATATAAGTCTTTTCTACGAAATAGTGTAAAATTTTGGGTCAATTGTAGTGAATTGGAGTAACAATGAGAGTGAGTGAAAGTGAATGAGAGAGAGAGAGAGAGAGAGAGAGAGA